GCCCGGACTCTGCCGACCAGGAGGAGGCGCTGGCCTGGTGCCGCCCAGGGAAGGGGCTGGGGCCGGGAAAGGCCTGTTCTATTGTGTGCCGCCGGGCGACGTGCATTGATGGGGAAGCTGCTGGAGGAGCAGGGGTGGGGGGGCGGGTGGGAGGGGAAAGGCAAATGCAGATATATATTAAAGACAAATTATCTAGATACCCGAGCAGCAGCCTGTGGCACCCGTTGGGCACGGGCACCAGGGAAGAGAGAGCCGGGCGTTGCCCGCTGACTGCTGGGGTCACTTCTCTGCCCACGGGCTCCCTGCTCCCCCAGTTTTTTTTCTCTCTTTGTTAACAAATGTGTCTGAGTCTTGGAAAACACCCCAACCCCGGAAATGTGTGGGAAAAGAAAACAAAAACTTTCCAAATCCAACGGTCCTGTGCAGTTTTTGGGGGGTGGGTACTGTTGGGACATCGGTCCTGGCTCTGGGCTGGGGTTTGGGCCCAAATTGCGGCCTGTGAGAGCTGGTAAGTAGCGTCCAGAGTTTTGGGCTGAGCATGGTTTTGGGCTCCTGGGGGCGGCCTTTGTCTCACCCCCATGTACCTCCTGGCCAGAGGGTGGGGCTGGAGAACCGCTAGGTGGCCTGGTGGAGCCCACCCACCCCCGCGAGTCAGGACAAATCCGCAGAGGCAAGACCGTCATGTTGCCCCCTAGTGGCTAAGGTGGGTCTATGCTTCTGGGGGCCGCTTGTGCGCGTGTCTTACAAGGGCGCTGGCCTTGCTACAGGCCCGGGGAAGGTGGTGTTACTCCGGGGCGACAAGAGCTTCAGAGGCTGAGTCCACATTTGCCCCCAGTTCTGCCTAACTTGAGTCTCTGCTTATTCATCTCTAAGGATTTGGACTCTATGATCTGCAGCCCCCACCTGCCCCCCCCCAGTCCATGCGGGCTGACCGTGGGTAGCTCCTGGGCCTGCAGAACCTCATCCCTGGGTGTTTGCTCCTTCCTGGAGACACTGAACAGGCCCACGGTCCCAAACACGCTGAGAGGCCAGTCTGTATTTGCTAAGCTTCTCGGTGGCAAGGAGTAGAAACTCTCAAGGCGAAGGTTGTAGTGAGGACCCGAATGTGCGGACGTTCTCAGGGGAGCAGAGTGTGGGTGGTCTTCATCTCCCAGCTGGCTGTGGTGGATTGCCACGCCACTGGACACATGAGCTGTGACTCAGCCACGCTTCTGCCACTCAGGTCTCCTCCACTTTGTGCTGGATGGGTCTCCCTCTGCTGGCTCCGCTTTCTCGTGCCGTTGGCTCGCCATCACCCTTCACCACTTGGATCTCTTTGCGAGCTTCCATCCACAGGTGGCTCTGTTGCCGGCCAGCTCATTCTTGCGGCATTTTCCAGCTCACAAGCCTGGTCCATGTTTAGGCCTGGACACCTCTCAGGGTCCCTGGGTTGCACGTCCACAGGAGACCCTCCCCCTCCTTCCTTCCATCCTGGAATGAAGCTTTTGTTTGAAGATCCTCCTTACCCTGGGGTGTTTCCCCAGGGACCTTTGAGAGCTCTTCCCCAGACTCTTGTCATTGGTGAGATAGTGGGTTCTCTTGCAGCCGCCCCCAGGTGTGGATTTCCATAGACTTGGCCTCGCCTTGCCCTCCTGAACCAACCACCTGGGGGAGGCATGGGCTCAGCTCGTCGTCCCCCACTGCTCACAGTGTTGGAACCTGAGGTCAGCTCTAACCCCCTGTGGAAGCCTGGGGTGGGGGGGGGAGGCCCTGACTCGGGGCAGTCTTGCCAGGACATCCTGTCCATGTACCAGTGACGACCTTGCTCCCAGGCCTTCTGCTGCTGCTCTCTCCGTCCAAGGGATGGAAGCATCTCAGGTTCCCCTGCCCCATCACCACTAGCCAAAGAAAATAGAGGCAGGCAGGCAGTTCTGTGAGGCCAAGAAGGGAACATTCTTTCCTAGAAATTTCTAGAATGGTCCTGAACAGTCTGTCAGAGTAGAGGACCGGAAATAGGGACAATGCAGGAGTTGGAAGGAGAGGCCCCAGTCCTGCTCACTGCCATGTGGCTGTAGGACTGAGGGCTTTCCTCTCTGTGTCAGGAAGCTAAGAGCTCCTCTCACTCGAGGGCTTGGTTGTAAGAGGAAAGATTTCTGGACTCTACCATTGACTCAGTTTAGCCATCTGTGAGATATGGTCACCTCAGTCTCAGCTCCTTCGTCTGGGCATCTGATGTTGAACTTAACACTGGGCCTGAGCTGAGCTTCTTGAGATCTGGCTGGCCTGGCAGTGACCCCCAGGAGTGTGCAAACAGCAAAGGGGTTGACTGAAATTCCAGGAACCTCACTCTTTGACACTTGGTACTTGCAGGGATATGTCAGGAGATTCCACCTGGGGAGGATCAAGGACAGAGTTGGGGCGGAAGCTCAAAGTGGAGTCTAGCTGATACCTTGGCCTTGACGACCACACAGCCCTGCCCAGGGGAGGGAACACAAGCTCAGCCAGGGCTGGGATTCCTCTGGGAGGACATCCCTTTCCTGGAGGTGGATATGGAGCTGAAGGAGCCTGCATTGCCCTCCCCACATACCCTTCTGGGAGAGCTGCAGATCTGGCTGGAGACAGGAGGATGGCCAGAGAGGGTCCTGAGCCACTTTCCTGTCCCCACTGCCCCTCTCCCGCCATGGGAGGGAATGAGACTGTAGGGTAGTTGATGGCTTCTTCCTTCCCACACCCAGTTCCCTTGGCTCTTCCATTGCAGGGTGCCCCTGCTGCCTCTGGGTTCAGGAGCTCCCTGTGGTGTCCCGAGTGAAGGCCTGCCATTTGGGTGGTGGAGCCCAGCTGGAAAGCGGGCCTTTGACTGCTGCCAAGAGTGCCCACTCTCCCTTTGCAGGGCATCCACTCAGCCATGGTGATGACACCGCCTAGCTGCCCGAGAGGGGCAGGGCCCTGGACCCTCCCAGCTTCCGGGTCCCATTGAGTTCAGTGAGTTCATGTTGGAAGCAGGAAGGTCCTGGGTTCTAGAAGACTGGGACCCCCTGGAAGGGCCAGGAGCCAGGCTGCTCTGAATGTGGGCAAAGGGATAGCTCTGACCACGTGGCGAACTGGAGAACACTCTAGGGGAGAGGAGGAGCCATCTCTCGCCAGCCCTGGGTTCTCTCTTCTGGAAGCTTCTGGACACCAGGGGGCCCTAAGAATGCTGAGCAAGGGTAAGAAAGTAGCTGGGGCTCATCTGGGCAGCAGGCAGACAGGACCAAAAGTTCAGGGCAGGCTGAGACAACCTTGCCTTTGGGCAACTTTATAAACATGATCCCCACTCCCACCCCCCTTGTCCTGGGGGTCTTCACTGAGGGGCGGCCACAGGCAGGCGCCTGAAAGACATGATCCCACCCCCCTCACCCCCCACCAAGAGGCCGAGGGGCTGCGGCGGGTAAGACCAGGCCAGTGAGTGATCCTGTCTCCCAGGGGCAAGGAGCAGCTTTCCGTTTTCCCGTTCATCTTCTCCTGTGTGTACCCACTACTGATGCGGGTGTGTGTGTGTGTGTGCACGCGCACGGGCGTGCGCGTGTGTGGGGACACAGCCCTTTGCGGAGGTGCCCGGAAGCAGTGACACAGGCAGAAGCAGAGACCACCTGAGCACAGCTCTGGGGCGGCTCAGCAGATCAGCAGCTGGTGGGGACCCCGATGGGCCACAAATGGCTTCTGCCTGCACCCGCATTTGTGTTAGGGGAGCTCGGGCGTCCGTCCCTTTCCATCTGAGCCCCTGCCCGGGGTTTTCCTGTAAGGGGTGCCGGTGGACTCCGCGGGGTCCCGGCTGGTTCTGAGAGCGAGGCGCCTGACTCGAGAGGCATCACTGGCTGCCCAGTTGTGCGGCCGGAGGGGCAGGGGGTGTCGTAGCCAGGGCTGGGCTCTGGAGACCGGGGCTGGGCTCTTGATTCTGCCCCTCTGAGCTGCAGGTCATGGGCAGTTGGTTTCTCTGAGCCTTACTTTCCCATCTGTAAAATGGGCTGTCTTCCTTGAAGGGTTTGGGAGAAGATAAGATGATGCCTTGAGGCATCCAGGGTGGTGCCTGGCCCACAACAGAGGCTGGAAAGGGCAGACACTCTGGCCCCGGCCTTCAGGGCAGGAAAACCCGCCTGGGAAAGGGCCAGCCCCTTGAGGGGTTCCCCAGAGCTCTCCCTGCCCCCACTCCCACCCATGGCTCATCCCTGGAGTCAGCGAGGGGCTGTCATGTGTTCCTTTATTCACTCTTTTGTCTCCCCCTCACCAGTGCCCCTCCTGCCAGGCTCTGTGTGGGAGCTGGGGTCAAGGGGTAAGCGGCCACCCCAACCCTCTGGGAACTCCGAGGCCAGAGTGTGGGAGTCAGGTGCGGCACCATGGCTGTGGGTAAGGGTTTCATTATGTCCTTGGGCTGGGCCCTGGGCCCTGGGTCTGGGAGGGACTTTGTCAGGTAGAGAAGGGGCGGGGAGGATTGGTCCTTGGCTGGAATGTGGAGAGAGGGGGGACTGGGGGCCTTTGGGGAATGGCTGAGGAGCTCAGACTTGTGTGGGGCTCTCGGGGCAGTGTGAGGAGCTGGGGAAGATTTGACCGTGGGTGGTGGTGGCCTCCGAGCTCGGGGGGGCAGTGGGCAGCTAGGGGCCGTGAGCAGTGAGGAGGGGAGCAGGGGTAAACAGGTTCCTGTGGGTCCCTGCTCCTTCTCTCAGTCACGAGGGAGGGTCCCGTGAGGGTGCACGGGGCAGCCCCCAGCCAGTGAAGCTGTCCTCTGGCCCTTTCTTTGTTGAAGGCGGCTCCTCAGGCAGAGAGGGGCAGCCTCTTCTAGAGATGGGGGCCTTTGCCGTCCTGCCTTCTCCAAAAGAGAGAAGGTGCTCCTCCCAGCGTTGCCTCGCAGAATTCCCGGGAGGCTTAAAAGTGTGTGGATTTCAGGACAGTGGGCCCCGGGGTGCTGCGTGTTGCCTTCTTTACCGCCCTGTTCAGACACGAAAGATAAGAGGGTTGTTCTCGTGGGTGCAGCGTGACCTCTGACCCCTGCACCGTGTCTCTCCTGAGGACTCAGGAGATACTGCCCAGGAGCCCAGGAATGAGCTCCCTGAGCACGTGCTGGGGAGGGCGTGGGCAGTGACAGAGCTGCCGGCCATCAGGGGCTTCATCGGGAGAGTCTGGGGCCTGTGAGCGCCCCAACAATGCCCATCACAACCTCGGCCCTCCCCCTTCCGAAGGTCTATGCACTTCCTTCCTCTTGACTTCTCTTAAGGTGGAGTGGAGGGTGGCCCAGCTCTCTGGGCCTCAAATGGTGGCATGAAGGGCAGGAGACCAAGTCCACACAGTCAGCCAGGAGACCCAGCCTTTGGTCTCCCCTCTCCCACAGATGTACGGTGTGACTCCGAGCCAGGCCTGTCCCTCTCTGCACCCCTGTTCTCCCTCTGCCCAGCAGCGGGGGGCTGGGGGGGGACCAGGCCTGCCCTACTCCAAGCTTCCCTGGAGGGACAGAGAGGGGGTTCCCGGGGCAGAGTTCACTCACTGGTTCTGCACATCTTGAATGGTGTCGGGCAGCGGCAGGCTCTGAGTCTCTGGGAGCAGGAGGGCAGCCAGGCCACTAAGGACTGGCACCCCCCCGTACACCAGCAGGGGCAGCCAGCGGCCGTGGACAGCCAGCAGCCGGACCAGAGGCCCCAGGATTGCTCCCCCTCGGGCTGCCATCTGGCCCAGACCCACCGCTGTCATCCTGTCGTTGCAGACACACCAGTGAGGGGCCCCTCTGCCTGCCCACTGTGGCTTTGACCTCCCAGCCCCTACTCTGTCCAGGATGGCCCAGTGGTTCAGGCTGAGCCGGGATGCTCCTGGGTGGCCCTGAGACCACATGGAAGGGAGATGGCGGTGGGGACATCCGAGGCTGGGGAAGGCCGCCCCCGCCCTGCCCTCCCAGCTCTGGGCGACCCCTCACCTGAGCACGGTGGGGAAGAGCTCACCGGTGTAGATGCTGATGCAGGTGAAGGCGGCCCCCAGGCCCCCGAGCCCCAGCACGGCCAGGGCTGAACGCAGGGCCCCCATCTCTGTGGACAGAGATGGGGTTATTGAAGTTGGTGGCAGGGGCCCCGAGGTCAGATGGGGGTTCTCTCCAGACTAGACCTCTCCCTGACCTCCCACTGTCTGTGACTCAGCTCCACCTGGGTGTCCCCAGAGCACATCCCGAGTGACCTCATGGCTACATTCACTGCCCCCAAATTGCCACCCAGCCTGACACCTGGAGCCAGACCCTGGGAGACCTCCTTGGCCCCCTGCTCCCCACCTTCCCCCTGCACTCCGGCTCTGAGCCTTATTTTATCTCCACAGTTTGTCACGAAGCCACCCCTCCACACCATCCCTGCTCATTGCCTGCTGCAGGCCACCACCATCTCTCCCGGAGGCCCCGCAGCCTCCTTCCTAACTGGGCCCCTGCTCTGGTCCAGCGCCCTCTGAGGAGCGGGCAAGGGCCTCTGTTCCTGGCTCAGCGCCCCCAGGTAGGGAAGCCTCGGGCCACAGCCGTGCGCACCCAGGCCCGCGTGCTCACCGTAGGGCACCAGCGTGTTGGCCAGGATGCAGAGCCCTGACAGAACCAGGGACCCCACCTGGGTGGGCCGGCGGCCCAGACGGCTCAGCAGCAGCAGGGAGCCTATCTTGGCCGGAATGTCCACGACCCCAATGAGGACCTGGAGCAGGAAGATGTTGCTGTCTAGGGCCTGCAGGTCCAGGGCCAGGCCGTAGAAGGTGAAGCCAAAGGCGAACCTGCGGGGTGGGGCCGGGGGAGTCAGGCCGGGGGGGTGGGCTGCTCATTGGCTCCTTTGTTCTCAGACCCATCTCCACCTTCCTCCTGCAGGCTCTGTGTAGGGGAGGGGTGGTCTCCAGACCACCTTTCCCTGGGCTCCCTGTCAATGCTGCCCATCGAGAGGTTTGGCCAATGGGAGGCACAGGTGAGAAGTGCAGGTGCACCAGGGGGGCGGTGGGGAGGGGGGGAAGGCCGGGATATTCCCACCTCCCTCTCTCTGGGTGCCGCCTCCCCTCCATGGCTACGGCTTCTACTGAGCGTGTCCTTCCTCCGTGGCCTCAGCGGTTCCAGTCCTTGCTGGGTGGCCCTGGTGCCTGGGCTCTGATAACCCCCTCCCTCCCGGGACGGCGGCGGACGCGCTCCTCCTCAGCGGGCTGGGCACTTCAGCTCTCCCGGGGCCTTTGCTGTGACTCCTCCCATCTCTCCCGCTCCCCCGCCCGCGCCCCCCCCAGCCTGGGCTGCTTCCTTTGGGAGCCTGACTGCTACTAGAGGGGAGGTGACCGTGCTGCACGCCCTGTCCTGGAGGTGCTGTCAGGACCGTGGGACGGACAGGGGAGTCATTAGAGGCCCCTTGACTGGATGCCAGCCAGAGCCCTGATTCCAGGGTCCCCGGGGGGCCGGCGACAGCCCAAGGCAGGCCAGAGGCAGAGGCTGGGGCCCCGGGCGGGGTTCAAGGGGCATCTACCAGCACAGAGTGGAGATGCCGGTCCGGAGGGGCAGCCCAGGCGTGCAGAAAAGGGCACCCAGCCTGGCGGGGGCCTGGCCCACACTCAGCTCCTCCTGCATGGCTGAGAGTAAGGCCTGCGGTGGGGGCGGGGGGGGCGCCCTGTCAGCACTGGGAGCACTGGACCCACCCTCCTCCCTCTGACCCTCCTCCTCCCAGGGGCCCAGTGCAGGGGCAGGGAGAGGGTCTGAGGGTTGGCCTCACCTCGGTGGTCAGCGTGCCCTCCACCACCCTCTTCCTGTTGATGGCAGCCACCCTCCGCAGCTCCCGCAGGCCCCGCTCCAGCCTGCCTGTGATGAGGAGCCATCGGGCCGACTCTGCCAGCCACCTGCCAGGGTTCAGAGGTGGAAATGGGAGGGGGCCCTGCCTGTGGCCCCCAGGGCCTGGCCTGCACGAGCCTCACTGCCCTTCTGTCTCCTGCCCCCGGGGGCTGGCCTCACTGGTGCCCACAGGCCCCAGGCTCAGGGAGGCCACGCCGTTTGACACCCTCCTTCCCCAACAGGCCACCCTTTCTGCCTTTTTCCTTCTCCCTCTCGGATTGTGCTTGGGAGGCCCAGTCCTCCCCTTCCTGCCCCCCTCCCGACCTGGTGGCCTTTCCCTTGCCTCACTTGGAAGCCAGGCCCAGGTGACCTCGTGTGCAGTAAGGACCCCCCAGTGGTCACGGGACGGCAGGCCCCCCAGGGTCCCCTCCTGTCCGGCGCCTCCCTGCTGTCACACTGTCTTCCTGCTCACCCTCAAGGCTGCACCTTCCTGCTTGAGCTGGCTCCTCCTCCAGGGCCCCTCCTTGCAAACAGCTTCACACCCAGCAGGGTCTTTGGTCCTGACATCACCAGCCCCCTCCACCTGCACCCAGTCAACCACCAATTCCTGTCACTTCCAGTATCCCTTGCATCTGACCCGCCCCACTGCCCTTGCCTCACTTTTGACCCTGTGGCCCATGCCAGGATGCTAGTTGGCCCAATGCATCTCAGTTCCCCTTCTCATGCCGGGACCCAGCCCGTAACACTAACCTGGCCCCCGCCGCCCTCCACATCAGCCCAGACCGCTTGCACTGGCCCAGCGCACCGAGTCCCCTATCATGCCCACTACCCTACACAGGTTCCTGCCTCCAGCCAGGCCCGCCCCCCCCCAGCCAGGCCCCCTCTCTCCTATGAGCAGCAGCTAGGGGTGGGGCCTCCTGCTCCTTGTGCGCGGGGCCCTGAGGTCCTTCAGGGTTAGCAGAACCAGGGAGAGAAGGGGGACTCAAGGTACACATTAGAGGTAGAGTTGACAAGACCCAGTGACCTGCTGGACTTGGGGTGGGGGGACGGGGAGGGACGGGGAGGGACGGGGAGGAGGTGTCATGGCAACTCTGACTCTGGGACCCGGTGGGTGGGGGCTGCTATCCAAGCTGGGGAAGCCTCGGGAAAGAGCAAGTGCAGGAGATGTTACATTTGGGATGCCAAGACCCCAGTCACGGAGATGTCACACAGCGGGTGGGAAATGGGAGGCTGGAGGCCGGGCGGAGGCAAGACCCAGGAGGTGACTCAGGGTCTGTAGCACGTGGGGGGAGTCAGAGCCGGGGGACAGGTTATGTGGCCTGGGAGAGAGCGGGAGGCCAGCATCGGCCTCAGACAGCCAGGAGGGGTGCCCTGGACTCCGCATCATTGACCTTTGCCCTCCACCCTCCTGCCTCCACTCTGTTGGTACCGGGGGGTCGGTAGGCAGAAGGCTACCTGTCAGACAGGACTGTCTCCTCTCTGAGCCAGTGTACCAGGTGTTGCTGTCTCCTGCTCTGGAGAGTGACTGCAAGTTAGTTGCTCAAGGCTCCATTTCAAGAGCTTTTGGCTCTATCCCGTTGGGCTCGGAGAGGTCTGTGAGTCAGCCCTCCTCCCAGTGCGGGAGTCCCGTCCTCCCCTGGGCTTCTGCTGGGCTTCCCTCTGCAGTGACCACAATGGCCAAGCAACTCCTAAGTTGCTGGGTCTGTAGGTGAACAAGCCAGGTTCAGCTCTGTCCTGAAGTGCATCCATCCATCCATCCATCTATCCATCCGTCCATCCATCCATCCCCTCCATCTACCCATCCACTCACTAGTTTATCATCTATCTATCTATCTATCTATCTATCTATCTATCTATCTATCTACCTATCTATCTATCTATCATCTATCCATCCATCCATCCATCCGTCCATCTATCCATCCATCCAGGTAGCCATCCAACAAATATTTACTCTGCACCTACTATGTCCCAGGAGTTTGGCAAGAGCCAGGCCTGAGGGCTGTGTATTTGAGGGCAGTGCAGATGTTCCCTAACCTCCCCCATATGTCAGCCCTGTGGGGAGGCCAGGAGTCCCCTCTGACCACTGGGTCTTGGTCCCTGTTCTTTAGTAATAACGTCAGTACGGAAGGCTAGCCGGGGCTGTGTGTGTGCGTGCGCGCTCTATCTTTGCATCTCACCCCACACGCACCAAAGCAAGCAAAGTCTCGAGAGGGAAAAGGGCCAAGAGGTGATGGGAAGGAAGGGGTGGGAGAAGGATGAGTAGAGGAAGAGGCACCTGGGAGGAGCAGGGAGGGGAGCAGCCCCGCGGGCACTTGGGTGAGCCTCGTGGCCCTGTGGCGGCCAGCTGTGCCAGGGCCCTGGGCCTCCCCTCCCTGCTCCCGGCCTCCTGCACCTCCCACCCCCTGCTCCCAGGGTGGAGGGTAGGCAGGTCTTCTCTGAGGCGGGGGCATGGCACACACCAGGAGTACACAAAGCAGAGGAAGAAGGGGACAGAGACCACCAGCTGCAGCAGGGCCCAGTCCCGCACGCCATAGGCCACGGCTGCCATCAGGACCTGGCCGAAGCTGAAGCCCAGGGAGTTCAAGGTCATCGCCAAGGCTCGGGCGCACGCCGATGTCCACTCCATCACTGCAAGGAGACCACAAGGGTCAGCCGGGAGCCTGCGCCAGCCTCCCTCGCAGGGCCCAGGTCAGGTGACCTACGGAGCGTGCCGGTGTTCATCATGACGCCCGCCACGCCGAAGGCCGCCAGGAAGCGGAACAGGCAGTACACGGGGAAGGTGGGGGCGAAGGCGGCGGCCGTGCCCGACACGGCCATCTGAAGGTAGTTCCAGGTCAGCACCAGCCTGCGCCCAAACCTGCGGGCACACGGACACACAGACGGTGTGGCTGGGAGCGCGGCGGGCCACGGCCCCAGCCACAGGGCTCTGCACCCCCCTGGGCTTGCCCGTTGAGCAGAGGCGAGAGTGACACCTGCGTCCGGCCCTGAGTTATCCACCCACGGAAGGCTTGGACGCCCAGGCAGTGTCCCCAAGGTCCAGGCAGCTGGAAGGCGCGCTGGGCAGAGAAGGAGTGCCCTGTCAGCGGGAGCCCTCGAGCAGCATCTGAAGGCAGGCTTGGGGCTGAGCAGATTTCAGCAGTGAACGCTGGATGGGACGGATGACCCTCTCCAACCCCAGAGGAGCCCTGGGGGAAGCCAAGGCCCAGAGCGGGTCTGAGGCTTGCTCCGCGGCAGAGCTGGATGGTGTCAGGAGTGAGGGCGGCAAGACGCCAGGGCTGTAGGAGCGCAGGGGTGCGAGGAAAAGGGTGCTGCTAGAGCCGGGGCACTCACCTGTCGGAGATGTGGCCGCACACCGCAGCTCCCACCAGGATCCCAGACAGGTAGATGGACTGGGCCATGGGCTTTAGGGCGTGGGAGTCACACACCAGGTCCCACTGGTGGGAGAGGAGTGGGAGCTGAGCCCAGAGGTGAGGGGGCGGAGGCGCTGGATGGGAAGGCCCATGGGAGCTAGGCGAGGGTGGATGACCTGGTGACCTCTAGGGTGGTAGGACCGGGCTGTCGCCCTGTGGCCCTCTGCTCCAGGGTCAAGCCCGCTCTAGACTCACCCGCTCTCCCCTGCCTCACCCACTCGGCAGTGCCACCCTGAGCTGGCGCTTGGTCACCACTCCCCCAGGCCTCTCTGGTTCTACAAAGAGGCCCCTTCCCCTTGCTGGGATGGGCAGCCCCTCCCTCTTGCCCAGATTTGCCTGATTGGCCCCCAGGGGTCGCCTGCCCCCAGACAGGAGGTGGAACTGGGCTCCGAGCTTGGGCGACGGAGAGGGGAGCTGCCTGAGTCACAGCTAATCAGGGGCAGCCCGGCCGACCTGGCTGTCCAGGGCCCCAGCTCTCGGTACCACCCACCCTTCCACAAGCCCGAGTCCTGCTGCTGACTCCCCCCCACCCCGGGGTGCTGTCCTGGAGGAGGGGGCCTGTCGAGGCGGGTCCCTCCCAGGACTGGGCCATTCTGAGTCCAGTCAAATGTGAGTTCTGACCTTGGCCTCTAAAGCGCCAGGACTCGGGGAAGGTGTCAGGAGAGGCCCTTACCTTGGCCACGATGGTGGAGGGGAAGGTGCTGCGGTCATAGACCCAGCCGTCCATGCACGGCTCTGTGGCAGCCTCGCTCCAGTTGGTGGCCGTGGCGTTGGGGTCCAGGAGCTGCCACTGTGGTTGGCGGAAGCGGCGACACCGATGGGGCTCGTGGTCGGGGCCCGGGGGGATGGAGACGGTCAGGAGGTCCTTGGGGCCCAGGGCCCCGGGGACACTGGCCTGGGCAGTGCTGTTGTCCAGGAGGGGTACCCAGCATCGGTGGCTGGGCACGGCGGCCGAGAAGTTCTCCAGCATGCTCTGAGTGGTGAGCCACACGATGGGGACCACCAGAGCCACCAACTGGAGAACCTGGAACCTGCCCAGGCCACCCACTTGGTCTAGGAGTTCAGAAAATGCCATGGAGCCCACCCGGGGGGCCCCAGTGGAGGTGCCCACTTCACAGAAGCTGGCCCGGGGCAAAGGGGCCGACGGGGGGGGCCCTGCTTCCCCCACAGCAGCACCTGTTTCTCCGGCCGAGAAGCCTGGAGCGGGGCAGAGGCCACCGCCCTCGCCGACACCGGGCTCTCCAGGTGTCTGTCCAGCAAAGGTCACTCAGGTTGGCTCCAACCGGGACCAGGAGCTGTGAGGCGTGACCCTGAAGCCACCAGCATCCTTCCAGACGCAGCTGGCCCTGGACCTCCAGGAGAAGCTGGTTACAGGAGGTGGGGGAAGTGGAGACTGAAGCCACCCAGACTGGAATTAAACTGTGACCAGGTGACATTTACGGAACAGGGGTTAGGAATCAGTCAAAGTTTAACCCAGCTCGGAGGGAGGCCCAGAGGCCAGAGCACAGCTGTTCCTGCCCGGCGGGGAGGCCTGGCCAGGGGCACCTGGTCTCTGATGGGTGTGGGGGGGCTTTGGCAGGGCTGCCACCCCCCTCGGCACCCCTGCCCGCCTCACAGGGGGACTCTCCAGGGCTCACGCAGGAGACCGCTGGCCGGGGTTCTTACTGATCCTGGGACTGGCGTGAGCCAGGAGCGACATCTGTAGGCTGCGAGGGCCTCCGTGTGTGCGCGCGTGTGCGTGTGTATGTGTGTGTGTGTGGCCTGGGCCTGAGTCCTCGGTGGCAGCCATCTGCACCCCCACCTCCCCGCCGGTGCGGCCCTGCCCCCCCAGCCCCCGCCCCCTGTTGTCTGCCGCCACTCATCCCCAGCTGGCACGACAAGCGCCGCCTCCTCCAGGGGGCTCTGCTGGCTTATTCTTGCCTCCTTCCTGGGCTCTAAGTCAGGAGTGGAGCCCCATCTTTGCACTGGCCTGCACCCTTCTATTATTGTCTGGCTGGTCGCATTTCCAGCCAGGTCCTGGAGGGCAGGGACCCTTCCCTAGAGCATCTTTGGGACCAGCACAGATGTGGACAGCAGGTGCAGGTGCTGTTAAAATTTGCTCCAGCTGGTTTTAACAGCAGCTTCTATTTTTTTTTTTTTTCCGGAGTATAAAATTAACGTACACATTTTCCAGAAATTTCAGAAAATATGGAAAGGTACAGAGAAAACAAAGATCAGTCCTAAACTCACCAACCAGTGACCGCCACTGTTGACACTTCGGTGTAAATACTTCTAGAGCCTGCTCCGGTCATTGGCACGTTCAGCTTCCTCATTCTGGGTTGCAAGCCAAGCTTAACGTCTCCTTTTGTAAAACCCAAACAGAAAGGCTCTGCCTTTAGCTGGCGATTCTAGCCTGTTCACATTTATTGGAATTACTGTCATGCGTGGACTTCCGGTATGTTTTCTTCTTTGCTGTATTTTCCCTTTACATCTTTGTTTCCTTGTTCCTATTTTCTATGGAACCCACTGCGTTTTCTTGCTGTATATTTCTTCTGCCCTGGTTTGGTGATGGTGCATTGCGTTTCTGTTAGCCTTCTATGGGAGCATACCCTTCCAGAGCTATTTTATGTCCCCTTCTCCTTCATCCTCTCTCAAAAGATGTCCCTTTCTCCTCATTTCACTAAGGAAATAGAAGTCATCAGAAGCCAACAGTCTCGTTCTCTGACTTGCCTCAGCCCCCCCCCCCCCGTTCTGCCTTCGCTCTTGCCACCTCCATGGCCCACATGCTCCTCCTCATCATGGCCTCCTCGCTGTGTGCCCTGCAGCCCACCTCTCCACCTCAAGCTTCTTTGGCATCTGTCTTTCCCTCCCTACTGGATAGTTCCCACCAATGTACACATATGCGAGTTTCCGGGGTGCCTGGCTGGCTCAGCTGGAAGAGCATTTGACTCTTGATTTCGGGGTCGTGAGTTCGAGCCCCACGTTGGGGATAGTGGTTACTTAAAAAAATAAGTAAATTAAATTAAATTAAAAAAAAAACCAAATATGCCATTTCCGTCCCAATCCTCAGAAAAGTCCCCTCCCTTTAATGCCTCTCTTCGGCACCCACCTCTTTTCCTGCTACTATTTCTAGTACAATCCCACAAAAGTGTTACTGGCATTCGCCTCCAATTTCTCTCTTCCCATTCTTTTTTGGATTGATTCCCATGAGGTTTTTGTCCCTGTTGCACCCCAGTCCGCAGTGAGCTCACTGCCACTGCATTCAGTGACTTTTTCAGGGCTCCCCTTACTTGAGCCAGCACAGCCTCTGGCCCTCCTCCTTCTGGAAGTCACTTCCCTGGGCCCACGCCCTCTGCACCTGCTTCTGTCTTCTTCACTGGTTCCTTCTCTTCCCTGCACACTCCCAGTCCTTGGTCCTCTTCTCTATTGTTGGCACAATTCACATCTTCAAGGATCTCTCCTTGCGAGGCTCAGCTTTAATCCAACCGCCTAAGCTTGGGGGTCTTTTGGAATAACTTTCTTGGCCCCAGGTGGAGCCCCACTCCTGCCCCGGGGGCACTGTGTCAGCAGACTGCAGGTGGGGGCCTGGGAAACCTGGCAGAATCTGGCAAAGGGTGAGAATTCTTTTTTTTCTCTCTTTTTAAACTTAAATTCAATTAACTAACAGATAATGTGTTACCGGTTTCAGAGGTAGAGGTCAGTGATTCATCAGTTGCATATAACACCCAGTGCTCATTACATCACGTGCCCTCCTTAATGCCCATCACCCAGTGACCCCATTCCCCCACCACCTCCCCTCCAGCAACCCTCAGTTTGTCTCCTATGATTAAGAGTCTCTTATGGTTTGTCTCCCTCTCTGATTTTGTCCTGTTTTATTTCTTCCTCTCTTCCCCTATGATCCTCTGTTTAGTTTCTTAAATTCCGCATATGAGTGAGATCATATGATAATTGTCTTTCTCTGATTGACTTGTTTCACTTAGCATAACACCCTCTAGTTCTATCCACGTCGTTGCATCTGTTGTTGGACATCTAGGCTCTTTCCATAGTTTGGCTACTGTGGACATTGCTGCTTTAAACATTGGGGTGCAGGTGCAAAGGGTGGGAATTCTTACCAGAATCAGCTCTCCCGGATCTTTGTAGAGCCCTGTCGAAAAGTAAGGTAAAATTCCACATTGTCCCTTCCTTTCCAACTCCAGACTCTTGTGAATTCAGGTTCGCAGTGGTTGTCCATCTTTTCTCTCCCGGGGACAGCTATAGCCTCCTTGTCTGTCTGGTTTCGTGTCCCGAGGACTTGCTTGACTTCCTGTCTACAAGGGGCCTGCAGGTTATCAGTGAGGCAGCTCAACATTGGGTTGGGGGCCCCAAAATGTGACCGGACAGAAGTGTGGGTTGCACCCCATTTGCAGCTAGGGTCTTCCCGCCTGTTGCCAGCTCTCAGGGGATTTGTCTCAGTCCTCTTTCTTTTGGCCACCTTTGGGAGTGGCTCTGGACCTTGGGAGGGTGCTATCTTTTGTACCCTCTCTGGGGACACCTCTCGCATCCCTGGAGCCCGTCCATACTGCCAGGAATCTTTACTCTTTGCTCCCACTGCAACTTAACAAGGTGTTTGAAAGGATTAAAAAGTAGCTCTACGGTCAGAAGTTGGTCACACTGGAAGCTGATATTCAGAGCGGGATAGGAACTTTTTGAAAGACCTTCTCCCCTAAGCTAAAATGAAACTATGTACCCAGAGAGAAAGAAGCCTCTCCAAAGACAAACAGTTCTAAATTTAGAACATAGGGATCTTTTGATTTCCATCTCAGCTAGGACCTTCTCCCTGATGAAAAGAGGCAAATTGAAGATAATGTAGCTGGATGGGTGGGTCATCCCCTTGATATCCTTTGGACTGAAAGGCATTTCAAGTCCTCGACTGGTGAGCTCACCTAGGGAGCAAAGAGATGAGGTCTGAAATGGAGCCCTTGGTCTCCAATTTTTAGAGGTCAGAAAGAGGAGGATCCAGCAAAAGCGAGTGGTTTAGATTATGACGGTGGGTGAAGGGAGGGACGAGGAGCAGAGGGTGAGGCAGATGGGCAGAAGACAGAGGGGAGATCGAGTTGTGGAAAGGCTTAGCGTCCCCCGCCCAGAACCAGCCTTGGAGAGTATCAGGTGTTCTCAGGAGATTGCGTACCCCCTCGGAAATGGGCACAGGTGCGGTGTTCGTCAACGTGGGTTTTTCTTGGACCTGGGGATGCACCGTGGACATCTTTCTGGCTGGATCGTGCAGCAGGTTTTTTGTGATTCCTCCCAACCCCCGATGTCCTGCAGTGACAGCAGCTGCCTTTGGTCCCAGGCCTGGCAGGAGAAAGGGCAGGCGGGAGTGCTTACTGTCAGTGACTCAGCAAATTCCCCGGGAGGCTCGCAGGGCTGGCAGAATCCAGGTGGGTGGCTGGAGGAGGCGGCAGTCAGAGCCAGCTGGGTTTGCTCCTGCCTCCAGGGTCCCCAGAACTCAGGCCACAACATGAATGTGGCATCTGAGCCTCCGCTCTCCTTCCGCCTTCCCTCATCTCCATGGGCTGGATTCTTTAAGACAGGATGGCTATCCTGGGAGAGCGCTCTGGGTTGGTCCCCTTTTTTTTTTTTTTTTAA